GAAAGGTGAGGTCCGAGTCAAGGATGACACCTAGGACCTTGGCATGGGGGGAGGGCTGGATAGTTGTGTTAACAATCTCAAGGGAAAAGTTGGGGGAAGATGCACAGGTGGGAGGAAATATCATGAGCTCAGTTTTTGAAAGGTTGAGTTTTAAGAAGTGTTGCGACATGCAGACAGATATGTCAGTTAGTAGATTAGTGACACGCAAGGACACTGAGGGGGAGAGTTGCGGAGTAGAGAGATAGATTTGAGTGTCATCGGCATAGAGATGGTATTGGAAGCCATGTGAGGTTATTAACTGACCAAGAGAGGAGGTGTAGATAGAGAAGAGAAGGGGTCCAAGGACAGAGCCTTGGGGGACCCCTACAGAAAGAGGAAGAGGAGGGGAGGAGTTAGATTTGTAGGTGACACTAAAGGAGCGCTTGGACAGGTAAGAGGAGAACCATGAGAGAGCAGAGTCTTGTAGGCCGAGTACTTATTTTATCTCTTGCTCCCAAAGGCTCCTCCGTCCATGTGACCGGTCCCCAGCAGCCTCCTCTCTTTGGCACTCCATCAGGTGGTCCCAGCTGTAACATTATCATGTACAATGCATGAGCAACAGTCCTGCATTGTAAGTGAAGATACAAAGGGCCCACCCACAATCCAGAGCATCGGATGCCGGGGTAGCATGGAGTGAGGCAAGTAAAAGTCCTTTCTCCCGATACCCCAGCCAAAAGCATTTAAACCTTGCAGGGGAGCAGCACCCCTGCACTCCCCCCTGCAAGATTTTCAGTTCCTCATAGTTGATCTTTAACTGCTTCAGGGCCACAATATGTTTATAAACAGCGTCAACCTGGATCGGTTACACCAAGATGCAGCAGCGGTGATGGTGGTATCATTAATTTTTTACAGCTGGCGATGGCTGTCAAATACAAACGTTCTATAGCCGCACGTTCGCTTGCATGGTCCTGGGGAGTGTGTGCCCCCACCCTGCACCATTGACTATCCCAGGCTCTGCTGTCCCCCATGCTGATGCAGGACTGACACAACAGGCTTGTGCCTGGAACGGAGAGAAATCTGCACACTTCCAATGGCTGAATTCCCCGCCAATCACTGAAAGCGGAAGCGATGTGTATTGGATCACTTCCGGTTTCAGTGTGCCATTTCTCCGGCTCCTGTGGCTAGAGAAGAAGCTGATGAAGCATGATCTATGCTTTATCAGCTTCCTTGGGGTCCCTAGGTGACATTAGAGGGGGTCTAATAGAGGTAAAATGATATTAAAGTCAAAATGTTTTAAGCTATTTCAAATACTGATGAAATCACTTACAATGGATGCGGCTCCTTGTTTAAAATATTTAGTTTCCTGCAGAATAAGCTGGTCCCGAGCACTGAGGCCGATATCCTCTTTTAGGGTGGCTCCTTTCCCTTGCAGGGTCCTATGATCCATCTTTGTGTGTGCTAGTAAGCTGCGTGTGTCTCCACAAACACACAGGCAAAGCAAGGGAAGCTGCTGCCCTGCTGTCCACTTCTCCCTCCCCCCTGCTGGAGACTGCTTTGTCCCTTGTGATCTTGTACTGGACAGTAAGTTCAGACAAGTTGAGCTAAGAGTTGGAGCTAGCTGTTTGGAATCATGATGACGGGGGATAAAATAAGACATACTTTGCTGGGCAATGTATATTTGTTTGATCTGGATTCATTACTGAAAAAAAGTCACATATAAAAACATTTTTAAAAAGCCCAAAGTTCCCCACCCCCCATGTACACACACAGCGCAAACACTTGTCAAATGCCCCTACATGCAAAAACGACAATTGCACCACGTTACATATCACTGCAAATTTTGTCGTGAGCGCACCAATTCTGGGCCATCAATCACTGTTAATGCTAAATTGACAAGCGGTAAAGGATTTTAAAGCATCACCTATGGGCAATTTTGGGTACTGTCGTTTTTGCGATTTTACAGGCGCACACAATTTTAGGGCTTGACATGTTTCGTATCTATCTACCCAACATGACCCCATCTTTTATATTTTACCAAAAAGTTGGGTATTCTATTTGGTTTCTGTGCACTAAAATGAATGAGTGTATTTTATCCCAAAAAATTGGTTTGCTAAATATTTGTGCAAATATCGTGCAACATAAAAACTAGCTTTTTTTATTCAACAGGGCCTCTGCTTTCAAAAAATATATAACTGTTTGGGGAGTTTAAGCTGCACATCAAACGTGCAAAAAAACACGCACTCTGATGAACGTTCATGAAACGTGTAAAAAGTACAAACGTACAGAAACAGCTGGACAGGTGCGCTCTAGATGCGGGTGGGCGTTTTAAAGTGTCCTTGTGCCCAAGCGGGAAACTGTCAAAATTTAAAACAGCCAGCTATAGAGTCAGCAAATTGCTTGTATGTTGTGCCTTCATGCAATTTGCAATAGGATTCTTACCCGGGAAACAAGGAACAAAACAGATCGATGGTCTTTTTGACCGGTGGGAGCTGCCTCTTGGATGTTAGCAATAATTCTAGGGCCATCAATCACTGTTAACACTAAACTCATGAGTGGTAAAAGCTTTTACCAAAGCTGTTACCAAAAAATTGGGTAATAATAAATGTTTCATAACATAATAAAATGGAAAACTTTTAAAACTTTTTTTTTCTGTATTTTTTTCGTTATATGAAAGCTCTCTCATATTATATATATATAGTATTTTGCGGTCCATAAGACGCACCGGACGATAGGACGCAGGGAGGTCCGGCGCGCCTTATGGAGCCATCGACAGACTGTAGCTTCTGACACAGCTTATTTTGCGGTCCATAAGACGCACCGGACGATAGGACGCAGGGAGGTCCGGCGCGCCTTATGGAGCACTCGACAGACTGTAGCTTCTGACACAGCTTCTATAACAGAATCTGTGACAGAAGCTGCAGTTAGTGACCGCTGAGACAGGTGGCACTGTGATTACAGCACCACGGTCTCAGTGATCACACAGAGCAGATGAAGAAAGTCCGTTCTTCGTCTGCTCTATGGTGATCTCGATCGTCGCCGCTGCTCAGCTTTAATACGAGTGATCTCATTAGATCACTCGCATTAAACGAGCAGTGGCTCCTACTGCTCGCCCGGCGCCCGAAACTGCATGTCTCGGGCGTCGGGATTCGCTCCATAAGACGCAGGCACATTTTTGGGGGGGATCCATTTGGGGGGAAAAAAAGTGCGTCTTATGGAGCGAAAAATACGGTATATAGTATGCTGCATTGTGCCGCTGTATTATACAATGCAGAGTACCATGCAGAATAGAGTACAATGCAGAATACCAATGTATTATACAGCGTTAGGGTTAATGTATTATTGCTGGGATTTGTTGTTCCTCTATAGCTGCTAATGTTCTGCAGTGTGCCGCTTTAAAAAAAGAAAAACAGTAAACATTAAAAAGGTATCTCGAGTGACTTACTTTGAATCGGTGGGCCCTTGATTGTCGGCAGGCAGCGGCGAGTCAGAAAGCTCACCGGGAGGAGAGGAGTAGACACATGTCCTCAGCGTGCGCGGCTTAACCAGCGTATGCAGTAGGCTAAACCGGCATGTGCGGTGGGCATGATGTGAGCGTCGTGCAGCCACGAGCGGGAAATTTGCATTTTAGCCAACGAATCGATGATGGACAACGTTTTCCATCGTCTAAATCGAATAGTTGTTGCAGCTCTAGTGGCTACAATTGATCCCCATGGTCCCTGTGTGTGTTGAAAGTAGCCACGGCTACTCCAAGGTCACTCCTGTGACAGATTACAATCTCAGGTTTAGTTTACGAAATTGTATTGAGATTATAGTCCATCACAGGAGCAAGCTTAGAGTGGTGGCTACTTTAAAACACACATACAGACCATGGGGAAGAAAAGTAGCCACCCTCAAGAAGGAAGGACAGTGTCAGCACCAATTCAGAGATGATTAGAGGTTCTACAGCCGAGTGATACGCAAATAAACTACATTTTTTTTTACAGATACATTACAGTTAACCTCTTGCCGTTTTTTTACTACGGGCGGACGGCACTGCAGCATCTGCGGGTTGCCGTCTCCAGACGGCAATTTTTTTCTGCTCGCGCGCGCCCCCTAGCGGGCACGCACGGGCAGAAAAGACCCGTCCAATGCGAACACCCGGTACCGGGTGTTTCACATATAGGCGATCAGCGGGTCCATAGCCCGCC